TTCTAGCACTCGGAGTTCTGCAGCCTTGTTCCCAAACGTGGGCTCTGCCGATCAGCCGCAACCCAAAAGCATCTCAAACTAAAAAAACAATCCTCAAGTCAAGCTCAAAGGTTTCGAACCAAGAAAACCCTGACCCTGCCCCAAACCCTAAACTTTAAACCCTAAACAATCTGGGTGCTCCGCGATGTCTGGAAATCCAGGTTCTGCACTTTGAGGCAAAGCAGCCTAGAGTTTACAGAGCGCAGGGGCCGGATTGAAGACTTTTACAATGGTTCATTGAGGGTGTTCTCTGAGGGCTCTATACGCGTCTTATTACAAGGCGTTACATGGTTTCATAAATTTCGATCGTTGCCCCTTCGCATTTTAAGGTGTTTGGCAACATCTCAACTGGCTCTGCGGCGCTGAAGATTGGGGTGTGATGGCTTACTTAAAGGATCAGGGGACTTAGTAAGCAGGGCTATCAGTAGGCTTGCTTTTTCACCTGACTTGAAGTACGCATGGCAGCACTTACACAGCCCCCTGATCTTTTAAGCGCTGGTCCAAGGCTTCGCGTGCCTGGCCCAACTTTATTGTAGTCAGGAGTCTACAAGGGTTTTGATAAGGATTGGTATACAGGTGGTTATCAGAGATTCAGTGTGGGTTACGATCGAGGTTTAGTTTAGTATAGGGGACCTGAATTGTTAGATACTGGGTGTGTTCGGATCAACGGGTGAATATTGGGAAAATCCGGGGCATAATAACACTCAGTATTCAGTTCCTCACGCATCATCTGTGCGCTGCTGTGACACGTAACAACTCAACTCAAAAAGGAAGATAACACTGTCATGGATCCTCACAGGAGCAAGCCTTGAAAACGTCGGCAAGCGCGCCCAAGAGGAAAAACCGGTACTGGCGGCGTCTGGTGGCAGGCAGGGACCAGCAACGTTTAAGCGGAGCTGTGGGCACTCCACCTCTCTGCAAAGCCGCACCCGGCCCATGGGACCCAATAGAACAGGCCGCTGGCACCACCTTCGAGAATCTAGTGGAGATACATGGGCGCACACTGCCGAAGAGAGCCCAATACCCCTGAATTAAGGAATATACCTTAAATCATAATATGGAGGCCCCTATAATTTAAGGTATATATATTCCTTAATTGCCTTATAGAACCCTTATAGAGACCCTGATAGATCCCTTTAGAGGGCCCCCTATAACTTAAGGTAGAATCCGTTCTTTAAGAGGTATTTGGGCTCCCTGGGTTCAGCCAGCTACAAGGAGCCTGAACCCCAACCTGCTTGGGTCTTTCCCGAGACCTCAATCTGCAGCCGTCGCGTTTCGTTGTTTTTTTTTTAAAGGTTTAGGGTTTAGGGCTCAAGGCTTGGTTTAGTGTTTGGATTCCAGGCACAGTTTCCAACTTTTAAACCCCAAACCCCTCAACCCAAACATATAAGCCCTTGATCAATAAACTTGCTGAACTCCTGAATCCTAAACCTTAAACCGGGTTCACGGCTCAGGATCGAAGATTAGGGCCTAAAGTTTAGGGAATGCTTTCCTGTCGCAATGGTAGCACCAGAGAACAGCGGTATAATCCAGTGAACTCCAACCTAGCCCAAACTCGAAACCCTAAACCATAAAACAACCTAACTGCAAACCTTTATAATAAACCCTGAACACCTTAAAAGAAAACATTAACAAATCAGCCTTCATAATAAGCCCCATTACAAACGCTCCCTGAACCCTAAACACCCCCAACCAAGCCCAAACCATCTACAAACACATGGGAAAACTTATCCTGAAATGTTGAGAAAATCTTATCCAGTTCCCCAAATCCAAGAACATCTCCTCAACAGAGCCAACATAGATTCCTCCAATGTTGCTAAACCCTAAGCAACCCTAAACCCTTAAAAACACAAATCCTCACATTGCCTGTACAGAAAATCTGTTCCTTAAATCTCAAAAGAACCCTATGATTGAATATTGCAACAACAAAATCAAAAGTTCCAAGAGACCGAGTAGCTGCCCAAGGGAGCGCCTATGCTTAATTAGGTATTATAAACAAAAGCATATACCCCAAACCCTCAACCCCATACGGGTAGTTCTCTAAATGGGGGTTTCCGAAAATAGGGGACCCTCATATTGTACCCTAAACACTAGGATCCTTATTAAAAGGACCCCCCAAAGAAGGTACCCCAATTTTCGAAAAGTCCCAAACCAGTGTCCCTTTGGGCGTCCTTGCTTTGCCAGGGTGCCGGCTTCTGCTGGGTTCCTCAACAGGGACCCTAATTTGGAGAACTACCCCATACTATCCTTAAAACATTAAAGCCCCAGTATCCAACAAGTCGCTAAGACCCTAAGGCCCTTAACCCCAAGACTGCAGGGTTTAAGTTTAGGGTTTAGGGCTTAGGGTTAACCCCAAACCTAAGACCATAAGCTCTAAGCCCTAAACCCTAAACACCCTAAACACCCTAAACCCTAAACCCTAAACCCCTAAACCCTAAACCCCAAACCCCAAACCCTAAACCCTCAACCCTTAACCCTAAACCCTGAGACCCGAGCTGCTCCAGCGAGAGCTGGCGCAGGTCCAAGTGCGCCGCGCTCACGTCGCTCTCGAGGCAACCCTGGTTTTGGGGCTCCAGGAAGGTAGGGACTTTTAGGGTCTTAAGGCATTTAGGGATTTTAGGGTTTAGGGTTTAGGGTTAGGGGTTTTTAGGGTTTTCGGATTTTTGGGGTTTAGGGTCCGAGGCTCTTAGGGTTTAGTGACTTAGGGGTCTTAGGGTTTAGGGCTTTAGCGTTTACTTTCTCAAGAGCTATAGCGATATAGGGTGTTACCCATAGGCCCCTGAGTAGTTCCTTTTTTGGGAGAACCGTATAGGATTCTAAATATAAACCACAAAAAGGAACTACTTAGGGGCCTATGGGTACAGCTACAGGCTGCTAGAAGGTCCTTCTGGAAGGGCCTGTAAGGCTCTCAGAAGCTCCCTTAAGAGGGCCCGGTAGCAGGATCCTGCACCAGGCTTGTTGGGATGTTTTGGGGTTTGGGTTTAAGGTGTTGGGGTTGTTTTGGGGTTTGGGTTTAGGGTTTAGGGTTTAGGGTCTTGGGATGTTTTGGGGTTTGGGTTTAAGGTTGAGGCAGCCAGCTTACCGTGATATGGTTTTGAGAATAGACGACGGGCCTTCGTGCATAATGAAGAGTTTCCCACAGCCACGAGAATACCCTGAAACAAAGGAGCCACCAGACGAAGGCTACCAGGAAGTGTAGCGGCTGGGACTTGAGACACACACACACACAAGCGAACAATGGAACAAACTACGGCTGGTAACCAAGTGTCCAGAAGCTAGAACTATCCTTCACCAGTCGTGGCCGCAAGACTTCAACCTCCCCGAAACCCCGCAAACGTAAACTTCACAACCCTGAACCCCTTTTCGCAAACCATACAACCCTAAACCCGCGAACCCCTCATCTCCAAACGGACCTTGTGCAATTAACCCTAAACCTTCCTGTAGTCTCCATTGTAGTTCCTTTTTGGGGATACCTTATACATTATAAAAACCCTTAAGGTATAATTGGTTAAACCAAAATAAAAAAGGAGCTACAATGGAGACTACAGGTTTAGAAGGCCTGACCTCCAAACCCTGAAATCCTGAAGCCGTGGCCGCCTGACCTTGAGTTCGAGGGCACCACTGAGCAACCGCTTCAGGAAGGACGCCTGCGGCTTCAAAATCCCAGGGCTTTCGGGGAGGGTTCAGGGTCGAGGGTTTCGGGTGCAGGGGCTTGGGCTTCGGGTTATAAGTGAGTCAATCTCAACCCACTTCTTGTAGCATCTTTGTCAGTCAACGCGACACCCAAATTTTGACGAATTCCTTCCCACACGATGTTGCTTCTAGGCCATAAGGCGTTAGCGAGGCGGCGTCCTGCACTGGATCTGGGGCGTTTGTGCTCGGTGCAGGAAGGCCAGGAAGCCACAGAAACTACAACCCTCCACCAAAAAGAACTCTTATGGGATCCCTGAGAGGAACACTTCAAGGAACCTTAACCGCATCTGGTCAAGTAGAAAACTAAGTAGAAACTCCCGAACTACAACTTCAAGAGTCAGAAGTAGGCATTGCAGGGCTTTGGCTCTAGCTGACACTCTTATGTTCCTAAACCCTAAACCCTAAAACGTAACTTAAGTCGATGTTCCTTCTTCTTCTTTGCAGACAGTCGAAGGAGTATGCGGATGCGCGGCCGAGCTCATGTCTTTTACGGTATAGGGCGTTAGGGCCAACCTAAGCCCACATATCCAAAAACTCTTAAAGAAACTATAGGCTATAGACCTTAAACTACACAGCGACTCTCAGCTCATGATTCCGATGGAAAACCCTGAACCCAGAATCGTATGAAGGCCGACAAAGCCCTCTCTGATGAAACCCTGTGAACTCCTAAACGCTCAAACCTGCCTCTGTGAAACCCCCTAGACTTGTAAACCCAAGACCCTAAACCCTAAATCCTAAACCCTTGTAACCCTAGACCCTAAAAGCCCTAAAAACCCTAAAACCCCTAAGACCCTACGACCCTAAGGCCCGAAACCCCAAACCCAAAGACACTAAGACCCTACGACCCCAAAACCCTGAGACCCGAAGACTCTAAAAATTCTGGCCTGAATCACTTTCAGTGTACCGTCCGGCCGCTTGGGCAGCTCGAGAATCTCCAACTCACCGGCAAAGGTGTTTGGGGCTTATAGACTTGAGGGTTTAGGGCTTAGGGGTTCTATACAAAGTTTTATGAGCTACTATGGACGTTGCCGTAGGCTTACAGTGTTTTCTGCTGGGTTTATAGGGTGTTTAAGGGTTTGGGGTTTAGGGAAGTAAGGGCTTAGGGTCAAAGGACATGAGGCTCAAAGACTTTAATATAGTAGTGTAAAGGGTTTTCTACGGATGTGAGGGGGGGCCAGAACTACTCTAATGTCACGATTGCCAAGACTGTGACTTGTGAGTTGTACACTGCGACATGGTCCATATCCACTCACGGCATATGAGGTTTACTAGCATCGCTTATCTCGTAGTATGCAAAGTGCTCGCTTGCTTGACTTTGCCATAAAACAGCACTTCCGCGCATTCTGTTTCCTTTTCGGCCTTCGGTCACGTTGGCCCAGCACGGGGCCACCCTGTGTTCTTTTCACAGCACCGCATCCTGGATCCGGACACGGAGCCCCTTAGGGTCCCCGCCCCCCCCTGTGAATTTGGATCGGGCTCTGGGGCCTCGATCCGTGCGCAAATGGCCTGTCCAGATGTCCAACTTGTCCATTTGGCCATCGGCGGCCCGCTCTGTCTCGGAGAGCCTGGAGTCCGTCAGGTTTCGCGCACTGGCCTTTCCTCGCACGATCACATGTTGTGGAGCCATTCGCGCCAGGCCGCAGCGTGCAGCTGGCGACGCTGTTAATGTTGATGTTCTGGACTTGCTGCTGTAGCTGCAACTGTTGACTCTGAGTTTCCACCTCTTAAGGTCTAGGGTTTAGGGATCAAGAGTGTAGGGCTAATTGCCGAGGGCCACAACCTGAAAGAAAATCTAAACCAACTCTGGTTAGAGCGGCCTGCCACACCCATGATTGGCGAGAGTCAATAAAACAACTTGCCAACCTCGATAAACAGACATTAATATTAATTAAAAGGAATACTTCTGTGAATTTAGCGTCACCTCTACTGCTGCTACAACCGCTGACATTGCTTTTGTTGACATAACTTAGGCTTGTAGTATTACAACGCAATTTGCCAAAGCTACTTTCCATGAACGGAGAATGCAGATTGAATGCAGTTCCAGTTTTTCCCTGACTGCCATCCAGTTTTGCCATGACTGCCATTATGGCTATTCTTACACAACTCCTACCATTGATGCAGTCGGCATGCAATCCTTCGATCAACATCACCATGAGCCTTAAGAATTCCATGCCTGGAGTCGGACAAACCCTGGAAACCGAAATCTTCAACCCTCATCTCCCCCGCAGATGCCCTCGCAGCAGAAGCCTGCAAACCTAGGTGAAACGACTATGCAACATCGACGAACCACCCTAAACTCCTAAACCCTAAGCCCCAACCCTGAAACCCTAACCCACTTTGTTCCACACCCATCCTTCGACACCTCCCAAAGGCAAAGATCCCTAAAGCTAGAGACCCCCCTAATCCGTGTAGCGGAGGGGCCTTGAGAATGCAAGCAGGATGTGGGGGTATATTATGATAGGGGTTTTTCGGGATACTATATTACTATAACTAGAATATCTTCAGATTCTACCATACTGTAAAGCATGATCAGGCACCCGAAGAAATAGCATAGGGCTTTAATGATTACCGATACTATTTTTTTGTTCTTGTTTTTTTTTGGGGGGGTCCTTATTATCATTACAGTATAATATCTCCAAAACCAGGGCTCAGATCGCCAGCAGCGGCTGGAAAACTGTAGGCCCCAGTGCGACGAAGTCGTACGCATAGCTTTTCGTCGAGCAGCCCTCGTGAGCACCATTGGAAAGCACACTAGGTCCCCGCCGCTGGCACACGACCGTTGGCTGCCCAGAAGAGGTCGCTTGTCGCACCGCGTGACTTGTGACACTTTACGACGACGGCTGCGCTCGCTCCCCGGCATGGCCGAGGAGGTCGCGGAAGGAAATGGGATGCCTCTTGGGATGGGCAGCTGGGCAGCGCGGCGGTGCCCGGTCGGCCTCCCCGAATGCACCGTGGAAGCAAGGACGTCAGCCCGGGAACAACCCAGCCATACGTCGCGACAAGTAGTTCCAGATGGCCACCGCGCCGATTTCAGACGCCAAACGCCAGTCTAGCGCGCCGAGTGCGGACTGCCCTGAACCAAGCCCGCAAAACGGTGAAGCGGTTGCATCAGGCATGGGGCAAGAGGGTGCATCAGTGGCAGGATTGGGCGAAGGATAGGCGCACCAAGTGGATTCACGAGAACGGGCATCATGCCAACCAACCACTTGGACAGACTGCATCGCGATATCGAGGCCCTCGCCTTGCAGGAGGAGGCACAGGGCCAGTTGAAGGGGGGAGCTGTCTTGGAGGAGGACCCCGTTACTACTGAAGAAAAGCCGAATGGGATGCCGTCGTCCAGGGGCACCGCTGATCTCCCTTGCAACGACTCTGGAGTCACTGGCCGGAGCCCGTGCGAAGACTTCTCCTGTTCCTGCTTAACGCTGGAGACACCCAAGGGCTAACGTGCAGACTCCAGATGCTGGAGAGAGCCAGGCTCTCGTTTTGCCAGCCTTTTTCCTTGCGTGAGGGGATGATGTGTGATGCTGCGGAGCTGACCCCAACTTTGTGGGAGCTAATTGATGTGGGATCAAGTTTTAGCTCCCCTTTGGACGACAGTGCCGAGCCTGAGGCACTCCGTGAGCAGACGCCTTTCAAAGCTTCCAGTCCGCAGTGCCTCTGGGTTTCTTCCCTTTCTGTGTTCTGGTCGGAATCCTCTCGTCCCTCCTTGGTCTCTGAAGTGGCGCACAAACCAGGTGGGTTTCTAGTTCTAGTTTGTGCCCACGCCGCCCCTGTCCTCAGTGACTTCTTCCTTTGGGCTCGTCCATCTGTTTGGCCCCTCGTGCTGTTGGGCGATGTCTGCAATCAAACGGCTTTTGCAGTTTGTGGTGCGATCGGGCAGCTTTATTGTCTCTGCCCTCTTTTCCTGCCGATCTGCAAAGGATGGCCCCCGCTGGGCTCAACCCTAGGGTTCTTTACGGTTTAGTTCCCCGCTTTGGTCAGGGCCTAAGAGATATATCGGAGTATCGGTGGCTCAGGGACGTCCTCTGACTAATTTCGGGATATGGACCCTTCGGCCCCCTTGCCCGACCCTATAAGTTCCGCGCCCGGCCAAGGACCGTGCACTGGAATGTCCTAAGGTCCTAAGGGTGGTGGCCGTGGTTGTTGCCCTGCCTTTTTCTTGTTCATACAACTGCTTGAGAGGTCGAGGCGCCAAACAGTGGGGACCACAGCTCGACACTCCCAGAAGTTTCAGCTTTGCCTGTGCATGCTGAGCTGCAAGTCACGGAGCCTGACTGGTCGATTTGATGTGCTGGACTGGCTCGCGTCTTGGATCGTCCCGGTCTTTCGGAGCCTCCTGGGTGCTTCCTTCTCGTGGCTCCGGCCGTGGAGACTCTATCGGCCGGCCACATTTGCGAGTTTCCGTTGTGTGGAGTACGAACCGGCTAAGCGGCTCTGCCAAGCCGTCCGCCACGTGATGGGCACGTCCTTGGATTCCATTGCAGGGCACTGTCTCGCAGCCAATTCTGGGACGAAGAAGACCGCGGCGCTGATTGCTCACAAGGGTTCCCGAGCTGCGAATGATGGGGGCAAAGGCAAAATTCCTGTCTTGCGGGAAAACTGCCACACCGTCTTTGTGGATGTTGTTCCCTCCTACAACCACCTCGGGCCCATCGTCACACATAGTGGGTCGCTCTTGCCGGAGATTAAAGGTCGTGTCGCCAAGACGAAGGTTGCCTTAGTTTGGCGAGGCGCGCAAAGTCTTCGGTTGCCCCTGCATATTGCCCTGCCCAGGCGGGAGCAACATGCTCTGTCGGCGCTTCTTGCCGTGGCTGGGGCTTGTCCGTGGCTTTGCTGGGCCTCGTGGGCTCTTTTTGAGTGTTGCCTCAGTTCCTTTTGCAGACAGATGCTTCGTGTCCCACCGCATGCTGGTCAGCACCGGTCGCGGGCTGCTGTGCTCGCGGCTTGCGATCTTCCGTCTGCCGAGGAGCGACTTCGTTTGGGGGCAACTTGTTCGAACAGGGCCAACAAACAGCCGCCTGGGCTCTTCTGCAGCACTGTCCTGACTCGATTGCTGCCTACACTCGCGCAGGCGATTGGTTGCTTAAAGCAATCGCTGCCACGCGTGCTTTCGATGACTTTCTTCCTAACTGGCAGGGATGGACTGACATTATGATGGCCACTCGCCCCAAGTACTGGAAAGGCCTAATTTAAAGGGCGCTCTTGTGGCACCAGGGTCGTAGGTGTGTGTGGGTCCAGTTTGACAGGTTTGCCAGGCAGCTTTGGGACCCCTTGTCGATCCGCTCGTCCCCGGATACCGAGGAACATGCCTGCTTGCCTTGTAAGCGCGTTTGTGATGCGCAGACTTGGGCTTCGCACGTGCAGCTGCAACATGGATATACCGTGCCTCGCATCTTCGCGCAGCTGAGGGCGTTGGATGTCGAGCTTGCGGGTCCATATTTGCCAATGTGAAGCGGCACCGTACGCATTTGCAAGTGTCGCGGCGGCGTCTTCAGTCTGTTCTTATTCGTGAAGACGGCGACCTGCTGCCGCCGCTAGACCTGCCGCAAGGTCTCATGTGCAAAGTCGTGCCGTAGCGGGCGTGGCACGACACATTTGCCTGCTGTCGAAGTTGTCGTCCCTTACCCTCTCCTTGCCCAGCTGGAGCCTTCGGTGTCTGGTTCTGACGAGAACATCTTCGACACGGCTCTGTCAGTCATCGAGCCATTCCCGGTTCTCCGTGATGCATTACGCTGTTCTGCTGTGCCTTCGCGTTGCCCGCCTCTGCGATGATGTGTCACGCCGGGCTAGTGCATATGACCGGCCAGGAGCCTTCCGACCGTGTCGTGCCGCTCCACTGGGCGCCACGTCCCGCCGGTTTGCCTGGGTTGGTGCTGCATAGCTCGCCAAAGGAGGCCGCTGCTGCGCCGGATACCCTGCCTGGCGGCGGGTGGCGTGTGTACCCTTTCCATCTTCCGCCCCCTGACGGTTTGGATTTCGCGGGCGCCTTGGTCGGGCTTCCACGCCCTCCTCTCCGCACCAGCTCCCTGCGCGACATTTTTCTGCGCGCTTAGAGCGATGCGTCGGCACTTGGAATGGCTTCGCTGCTGCCTGCGTTGGATTTCTGTCACGCATCGTCTTGCGCAATCTGGTATAGGCGCTGCCACCTGGATTTCTGCAACCTCTGGTCTTTATCCGGGCCTCTATGCGACTGGTTGCTCACTTCCGGGCGCACGCCCTGTCCTGCTCTTTCTGTCCGTTTCACCTCTTGAATTTATTTGCATTAGGCGCGTTCGACTTGGACACCAGGCCTTGCGAAAGAAAACGATTCCCCAAAAACCCTTTTTGAACTACTAAGGCCCCTATATTAGCTTGGGGGAATTTCTTGCAGGTTTTATATGGTTTGGCCTGCGGCTGCTTGACGACGAGCTCCTTGCACCAGGACACCGGTTTAGGGTTTAGGTCTTTTAGGGTTTAGGATTTAGGGTTTTAAGGTTTTTTCGGGTTTTTAGGGCTTTTCAGGTTTTTAGGGTTTTTAGGGTTTAGGGTTTAGGGTTTGGGGTTGAGGGTTTTTAGGGTTTATAGGGTGCATCCAAAGAGCCCAATACCTTTGTCTTGAGTAAAGAATAGACCTCAAACCATTATCAA